CTCTCTCTTCTCTCTTCTTCTCTCTCTCTCTCTCTCTCTCTCTCTCTCTCTCTCTCTCTCTCTCTCTCTCCTTCGAAGAGATAGGAGGCGTCGCTTCTCTCTCTCTCTCTCTCTCTCTCTCTCTCTCTCTCTCTCTCGAAAAAGAGAAGAAGCCTCTTCGTCGTACGATTAATATTCCGACTCGTTCTTTTTCGTCTCAGTCGTAAACCACTTTGTGGCAAAGTAAGTCGCGAAACTCGCTACACGGCGGAGGCCGCCTCTCTTCTGCGTGCGCACTATTCTCCGCGACTTATATTGGTTTTCTGGCATCAGAAATGGAAATTACGAGGCAATAAAGCGCGGTAATGCGGACCTATTAGATCGAATGGACGGGAGGTAAAGTGGGGAATGTTTAGGCTTGATGGTGGCTCGACAGCTTGAAGAGAGAACCATCAGCTAACGACGCCTGGTTCTTTCGCGTCCGCGAGAAGCTATTCAATACATCGACATTTCTCTTCATCCCCTTCATCTTTCTCGTACATATCTCTGTTTCTCTCTTTCTCCCTGCCTCGTCTTCTACATTTTCTTCTTTGTCTTCATTCTCTTCAGGCGCGAAACGTGAAATTGGCGTCACGCACGACAGTGTCGCGCTCGACTCGCCGCTAACTGGCCTCTAATAAACGCACTTCGTATTTTAATGAAAATGTCGTTGGTGAGACGATGCGTGGCGGTTATGAGTCAGACATAAGTTAAGTGGCCGGTGCTGCGAGCCCGGTCGAGAGAGATTGACATTTAGCGCGCGTTTCGCTTCTTGCTGTCTTGTCAATGAACGTCACAAGGCGATTACGCCGCGCGACCCGTGCGATTGCAAACGTGACGAATCACGAAATCCCGCGCGAGAAATGCGCTCACCGAATTGACGTCACAGCTAACGAAATTTCGTCATGTATTTTTTCCTTGCCTAATATTCGATTCGACTGATTCACCCTGGAGTAATGTCATCGGTAATTCTCGCGCGCGAATAAATTATTCCGCGTCGATGATTCACGGTGCGGGAGAGTTCAAGGTGTTGGCAAACGTTTTCTAGCTTTCGCTTTGATCCTTCGCCGACTTTGAAGCCGACTTGTGATGACTTCGGTAATTTGCCACTTTATTTTCCTTTCGCCTCTTCATTCGGCTTCGACTCGATTCGACTCTTCTCTTTGCGCTCTGCCGACAGCGTTTTGAACTTGAACTTCTTCGCGTCAGGATAACACCCAGTTACAACTTGAGAGATCCAGTTAAAAGACAGGTGACGATTGAAAAAAGATATTTGAAATCTCTTTCCTGGGAAAATTTTCAAATAGACTTCTTTCCTGGGAAAATATCCAAATAATCGTACCTTTTGGAGACTGAGACTATCGGACGGGCCGTTTAGTATTTCACCAGGAGGGCGAGGACACGCTCCATTCCAAATCGAGTGCGCATAAACGGATACAAACTTCTCGTCGGCCGCATCATAAATTCGCACTTGAAACGGACGCGAGATTGGCTACATATATGCATACGCGCGGTACTAACAGTAAATTGAGCCGGGAAAACGTTACTCCACGCCCACGAATTCGCCACGTAACGCCGCGACGTAACTCACGCGGCGTAAAACCGCACGCGGAGGGGCGGTTAAGAAAAAGACGCGGCTCAACGCGGTCAGACGTCTCTCGCGATGAATTTAGTTCCGCGTTTTAAACGCTCGGACCACGCGCGCGGCGAGAACGCCGCGCCGGCGGCCGTTCCTCGCGGTGATAAAGAAGCGTGGCTGGACGTTTACTATTGGCCGTTTGGTGTAAAAAGGGCTAGGCGGGCATGCAGATCAAATAGCGGATTGTATGCGCGAAGCGAATGAGAAGTCACGCGGCGTTATCGTCCGTATGTTTTCCCTCGTTGGCGGATACGGCGGCGCGCGGCTTTCCTCCGCGGCTCGAACTGTCCCTCCCGCTTCTTCTTTCCGTCCGCTCTTCCCGGCGAAAACTGCGGATTGCTTTTCCTTATGGTCGGCGGCTTCGTTTGCTTGTCATTTTATGGACCATCGGACCAGAAACGAGAGTCTCTTCCCAACGAGCTTGCTGGGAAACCAGAGAGACTCTCAGAGTATTCGAAGCGCTGTTTTACGTCATCTGAATTCCGACCGGCGCGCACCGTGATAAATCTCGTTACTTTACAGAACAAAGGTGTTTCCTCCTTTTCTGCTTACGCTTATCCCTCGGTCACTTTTCCCCCGGCGTCATCGTGGAATTTCAACCGGCTGGCTCGGCACGATTCCGAGCCGGAACACTTTCGTCATCTGGCTTAATCCCATTTGTCTGGCGAGGCGCACGTGCGTGAAATGCGCGATCATCACGCGGCTGCCGTTAAGCGTAAGCAGCGTAAGATCCGGATTGTCGTATGCAACACACATTGTGATTTTGTTGACGTGGTGTGACATAATCCATCGCCCGTTTGATAGCTTCCAGCCTCTAGCGCGAATTGGACGCTAAAAACTATTCGTAGAGTAGTTAATGAGATCGCGATAGAATTTTATCATACCTAATATTATTCTTAGATTTTTACATATCGCTATAACATTTTATTATCATATAATATAGTGAATTTAATAAGTGATCTAGTTTTCGTCACACTTGTTGAAAATTGTCATTTACTTGGCAAAATTGAATCCCGCTGATCGCGGCAATCAGATACTTTTATTTTGGTAATGGGAATTCAGCATGTCGGGATGATTAGTATCACGTAGATTAAATATATATACATCGCGATTCCACGTACGTCTCCATCGCATCACTTGTAATTTTCCACGACGGAGGGACTCGGCAAAAAGGATCTGAAGTCTATCTTTCGTTAGAGAATCATACAGTTGTATTAGAGACGTATGCCCACTGTACATCACCGTAATCAGCTTACCTCGCTGAGTAAAAGGCGTGTTGAGTATCTTTCCCATATGTTAACGCTTTGAGGAGTTACGCGATTTCTACGCAAGAGGAAAAGAAGACATCCGAGAGTGAAGAAGAAATCGCGTTGCGATACCGCGTGTAATGTGTTTCAAATCAAAGTACACAGCAGAATCTTAAAAATTCTATCATCAGATCTATCACGTCATTCGCGATTACAACCGGATTTATCTCAAGATGGGATCTTGACAAATTGATACAAATCAAGAAATCCATATCAAAAATTGCGACTTACCGCGACGAATTATGTATCGCGATAGCTCCTCGGCTCTGATTTCGCGCAATAAAGAAGAGGGTGTCATTAGAAGCTCGCTCCGACGCGAATCGTCCGTTCGGCGGGATTCTCGTCTCGGTGGTGCGCAACTTGAACCCTCAACCGGGATAAAATTACTAGGGGAAGATTCAGAGGCGCGCGTCCGATTCCAAGGTCTGATAAGGATGATGGAGGATATCGCACAAATCACCGGTCGCGACTTAACTGCTATTCGCGCAAATCTCTAGACGAGAGAGAGGGCCGATGACTCTCTCCGCGCGCCGACCGGGCTCCAGTTTACAGTAATTTATTAGGCGTGTAAACCTCGGGAGAGGCGCGCAGCTCTTCTCGGCGGCATCGAGGTCGACGTCCTTCCTCCCTCTTGCGTGAGAGGCGAGATCCTTTCGTTTCACCTCTGTTCCTTTCTTCTCCCTTTCTTCTCCCCCTTTTTTTCTTTCTTTTTCTATGTTCTTTTTTTTCCCTTTACCCGCTGCACCGTTAACACACGTTCGACGAGGGATGATAGTGCCGGTAGCCCCTCAAGTTTTATGAACCAGTTTACGAGATAATCGTGCACCCGTTCATTTGGCACGGGGCGAGGGAACCATCTTTCGACAGTCGGCCGTTCGCTCGCGGCGAATCCAGAGAACGTTCGCGACGCACCGTTGTTGCGATCCGTTGCTGGCCGCGGAAAAAAGGGAGGATAAAACGATCTCGCGTTGCCGAGGCGGAAAGGCGGAGCGTCGTAAAAAGTTAAACGCGAGTGACCGATAGCACGATGTGCGAAACGACCAGTTTAGCGGGACATCGTCCAGCTCTCGCATGTTAGAAAAAAAAAAAAAAAAAAAACCAAAAAGAATCTGTCAAACCCTTTCGAATGGACGTAATATCTCCTTGTCGTAAATAATTATGAAATCTGTATTCCCCATTTCGCAGGTGAGATTGATGAAAATATTTTACACTTCGAGAGAAATGTAAAAGAAAGAAAAAAGAATTCGTAAAAATGTTGTATGTGCAATCATCCCCCACGTAGGAATTATCGACGATCGCTTTCGTGCGTGTCGTGGATCGGTGGATCGGTGATTTCGCGCATTCGCGCGAGGGAAGAGGACGTCTTCTCTCTTCCTTTCTCAGACGAAGAAGCGGAGAATGAATTGCGTGCAGTATCGCGATCGTGATTGCGAGCCGAGGGATCGTATAGATCGGCTTATCCGACGCGGCCGTATGGTTTTACTGCCAACTGCCCGACCCGGCGCAGATGTCTCGGCTCCTCTCTCTTTCTCTCCCCTCTCTCTCTCTCTCTCTCTCTATATATATATATATATATATATGCGAGAGATGTGTATACATACATATACATATAGATATGTATATATATCGTTATTTGAACGCGCGGACCTCTCGGACGAGGTCTTACGACGAGACAAGAATGTTGCGCGGGCCAGACGCGCCCTCGGCGATGACCGGCCTCCCTCGGTTTTAAATAACGGTCATTACGTGCCAGGGTATAACTCTCTGGGGTATCGCGCGTCGGCCGGCATCGGCTGTGCGGAACCGATCCCATGACAAAGGGAGAGACAGAAGCGAGGAAGGATTCAATCTATCCGACCGCGCGGCCGTCCGTGAGCCGGCCGTCTAATTTCTACAAAACGATAGAATCTATAAAAGCGACCAGCCAATAAATAGCGCTCGACCTCTGCCCCCTCGCGCGCCCATCGTCGTGTTCTCCGGTCTATTACTAACCGATTGGTATCGTTAATACCGATGCTACTACTCTTGCCAATACTACTCTCCGCGGCTACGATCGACGACAAAATGATCCTTCGCTTTTCTTTTTATTTTTTTATTTCTTCTCTTCTTTCATTTTTATCAATGTGGAAACGCTTGATATCGGCTTGATAACGCGGACGTGTTATACAAGCTGTAATTTTGTAATTTGATTTTTGAGGAAACTATAAAAACTGTAAATATATTAACCCATTAGGAGATTGGCTTTTAGCAAATATCCTATAAAGATATATCGCCATTGATAGGAGTATAGCCGGCACTTTGCTACATTGCAGCGGATATCATCGATAGCACAGTCCGGGGAGACCGTGGACTATTGTCACGGTTCGATTCACGTTCGAGTAATATTATATCCCGAATGATTGTTCTCTCGCAGCGTAACGTGAATTATGCACAATAAAGATTCCAGCCGCGAGATGTAGGCTGCGGTCTCCCTTACTTAATGCTCCGGCTAAACACATATATCGCGCATCTGGATATCACAATGTTTACCCGGAACGTCACGCCGATCATCGGCGATCTCTCGTATCGAAGTACTCCCGATTCCATCGATATCCGTCTCTCATCTAATCTCGCGTGCAATTTGCTATTCAATCGCACTTCCATAATTACTCGGACTTCACCGTCTGGGAACGAACAAAGACTCTCTCTCTCTCTCTTTTTCTCTCACTTAAAGTGATGATGTTGAAGAGACGAGCAAATTCCTACGTTCACATATATGCACATCTGTGCATATCTAAACATACATAGATATATTTATGTAATACAATACATACATTCATACGTACATATCTGCATATGAATCAATTTTCGTATCGATTTTTTTGTATCACATTAGGTAAGCCTAATTCTAAGAACTTAATGTCTTCATGTATAATCTTCTAATTTAGCAATATCAGTTTTGCAAGTTGCAAAATTTTTATATAAAGCAAATATTGATGCGATTGGACAGCTCTGGACATCATTATTAAAGTAACAAATGTAAAGTTAAAAAGATTAAAAAGATAAATTAAAAAATTTTTTTCTTGTTTTTGATACGAATTCTCTGGACACATATTAATGGTAGACACATAAACTTTAATTATGGAAAAGGATTTTCAGATTTATAAAATTAATACATAAAAAAAATCGACACAAAAAATATCACATTTTGTTGGTAATATAGATGAATTTAGCAATCTCTTAAGACAATGCATATTTTACCAGGTGATTGTATAATATCATAATTTTGTTCTGTGAATAATTTAAAAATGAAATGAGTGTAATCTTTCATGGAATGTAAAAGAGATTAATCACATGTCATCAGAGTCCGATTTCCAGGTGCGTTTACGCAAAAACGCTACGCGTGCGTCATAGACCATCGAGCCACGTGCACGATGGTGCTTACTATTCGTTCTATTGAACAGCGACTTTCCTTTCATGCAGCCGGAATTGAGATGAATTCTTGAAACATGTTGTAATGCATAACGTAGTTCTTACAAGCGCACCTGAAGTGTGAGTCAACGTCCGGTTCCTTGCTCCGGTTGTTGCAATCTTCTAACTCTTTGATTGTCATCAAGGCGGCATGGTACAAAGCACGAATGTAACTTTTTTGTTGCACTTTTGTTGCAGAAATAACTTGTCCTTAAATAATTTTGCATATTTTTTGACAAAAAAATTTTATTTCCAACTTTAATATAAATAAGTTTTTCAGGAAAATTTAAATCTTTAATTGATTTAAATAAATCAATATCTTTAGTGATTTGGAAAATGAAGAACGTAAAAGTCAAATATAAAAGATGTAGGATTAGTACCGATTTTTAGGGAAAACTAGCATCTCTATGCTATGAGTTTATCTCAAGTGACAGCGGAGCATTAAATTCTGACACGTGTCGTGAAAAGGTTTACAACGTGTTCCGTTCGGTAACGGGCCAGCATTTATGGTGTTGTAACACTAGCGGACTCTATGACTATAAACACGTGAGTTACAGCGATGATATATTAAAAATGTGATGGGATGAAACAGATTTTCAGGAACATTTAGCTCGTTGATTCACGCGTGAAGCGATCGCCCGGCTATCATCTCATGTTTGTTCAGCAAAGCGTGTAGATACATTTTACAAAGTGCACAGAGTTAGAGGGAAAAATTAATGAACTCTATTAAATGTTATGGCTACATATTTATCAAGACGTATGTAATCCCGTTACGTATGTACTAAATACTAATTACGTATGTACTAAATAATAGTTCCGTTAACTAAAATTCTACGTAAAAACGTACACGAAACGCCTTTAAATTATATCATTTAACGCATAAATTTCTAATGACAAGATTCTACGTAATTTCCATAGTTGCGTAACTCAACATGTAAAGTTCTAAGTTTCAATCGTATTCTTCAGGAAAGAAGAACGTCGTCGGACTAATATCGGGAAAATGGGTTGCCTGGCTCTGGGGGAAAATACGCGTTTCATTACGCGAATCGTTAATCGCGCGATCTCGCAATTACGCAGGACAATGAGAGAATGCGCGGGCGCGCAACGCGTTAGGAAGCCACTTTTGGTCTGAATGCCTGAACCCTTTTCCGTAGATTTTTCGCAGCGGATGCGACGAGATCTCTATAATTACGAGCTGAATGCGCTCACCCGCTCGCTCGCTCGCTCGCTCGCGTGGCCGTGTTCCTATCTATGTCGGATGCGCGCGTTGGAAATGGAAAGTGAAGGAAGGCCGTCCGCGCGCGCACGCTTGTGCAACTGCAATTGCAACTGTAGTTACGGCCGCGCACGTCTTCGCAACATTTCTTTTCCGGAGTGCATGCTCCCGACCCCCGGACTCCAGAAGCTGTTCCGCCGCGGTGGACGACCGAGGGACCGGCGTATCGAGGAAACTCCCCTCCATTAATTCCCTTCGAGGCGTTCTCAAGCAGCTAGGAAAGCCAATACCATCCGTCTAATTGCGCGCGCTCGGCTTTCCAGGTCGTTGATCTAGAAGAAAGAAAAACCGGGACTCCCGTCGGCCCCTAGATCGTTCCGTCAGTTAACCTCGAATGGAATTAATGCGCGGAAACTGGAAACGGAAAAACCTTCCCAAGGGAAACCGCGCCCTCCCTCCTTTGCGCGCCCCCTCTGCCTTCTCTATGCGACCCGCGCGAATGTCCGACACTGGAATCTATTCAACACTTTTTCACTTCGTATAATGCGTGTATACGAAAACAAAATATATATATATATATAAAACAAACGAGAATAAAACAAAAACTGATAAAAATAAAATGTTATTCTACCGAAAGTCCTGTTTTGAATCGAATAATTTTTTTATATGTTTATTTTTAATACATGGTTAATATACCTGCGGTATTTTTGTTAAGTTCCACTTATTTGACAGTTTTTTAATTTCTCCGAAAATCGCTTATTTAAGAAAAATGAGGTAACTTTCGTTTTCATTGGAGATGGATTCAGGACTTATAGAACGGCATTCCAGGACGGACGGCTGCGTGGTCCTTAAGGGCTCGGTTTCGTGTACGTGCGCTCGCATTGGGACGGTATTCTTAAATCAATTAGAGCCGGGAAAAAAAGAACCCGCTGACCTTCGATCAGCCGACCGACCATTACTCGGCTACTGTGTCTCCACTGCAGCCGCATGCTTGAAATTGCCTGTTCGCAATTTGACGGGGTCTTTTTACGAGCTGACTGGAACCTCGTACAAGCGCGGTGCCTCTCCTTGCCAAATATAATAGATACGTTTTTTAACCCACCCTGAAGCCACCGATCGCTTACTCTTGTTTCGACAGACACCGGTCTTAATCGTTCTCGCTACGATCAACAAAAATTCAGCCTTGAATCTCGTGTCAGAGAAGAAACGAGCTATAGATTTTTTTCTCTATGTCTGACTCGAATTTTGTAATATAACATAAATCTACAATGCTATAGTTATTACAAGCAAACATAACTTGCATTAATATGCAGAAATTTTTATAATTGAAATCAGTTAATATAAAATACAAAAAAAAAATGAAATTATTAAGTATAAAAATTGAACTTTACTTAAAATAAAATTTTATAAATGTTAAATAAATTGATGGATTTTATTTTAGAAAGTTTTAATAATAAAAAACCGTCCGTTATGACAATGCGTTTATTACTTGTGTGATGGTGTGATCTGTCGGTGAGCAGTTCCGTGAAGGAAAGCTTCGCAACATTTATTCTATTCATCATTAACTATGTCAAATTGAAGCCGAAGAGATATCTATGCTATGTGCCTTTATTGCACAATCCACCGTAATGACATTTAACGTTTCTCAACTCTTTTCAGGATGGTTTTCTGTGATATCTGGCAATAACACGACGGGCAGTGCGCGCGTCTATCGAAGAGTGGATTCTTTGGTGAAGACGGGGGTGCCTGCCTTTCTGTTGGCGACGCCTCTGAGAGCCTACACGCTGACCCATTCGAAAATGGGTAAGTAATGGGCAAGGGAAGCTGGAAAGTGCAATCACGATGGCGATCGCTCGCGAAATGTCAAGTGGCGCGATGTTCTTGACCCAGATGCATAGGAATATGGGTGCAACAGAAAGTACTGTCTTTCTCTCTGTCGTCTCTCTCTCTCTCTCTCTCTCTTTCTTCCTTCTTTCCATGTCATCCCATTTGCTTTGCGGCAAAACAAAAATACAAAAGCAGAAGGAATTATCCCTTTAACTGCGAATTGCCGTTCCTTAATTTCAACGCATCGATGATCTAAACAACGAGGAAGTAGAAAACTATGCAAATTTCGAACGAATGAAAATAAAAATTCAAAACAGACAGTCGTTAAGCGCCGAGTAGAACGATCTATTAAAATATTTAAGTTTTAATCAAATTTATGCGGGCCCACATTTGCATATCTACGCGTGTGAAAATGTTTCTGTTGCTTTTTGCAATCTCATTAAAGCAATTAAAAGGAAAAAAGAAATGAAAGAGGAAGTTCCGAACATTTTTCTACCAGACGGCGGCCAGACGTCGAGAGATGACATAAATTAGCTAATAACAGACCGATAACACGCACTAATAGGACGTAAACTGTCACGCGATAAAACTGAGACTTCGTTAAAACGGGAATATCGGCAAAAAACGAGTAACGGGCAGCGGTTGGTGATCAGTCTATGACCCTAATGTTAGATACACATCGCGGTTAAAGACCATCCGGACACGAGTGGAAGGACTTCTGCTGTCTTTTAACACCGTTTGGTACCGTTAAGGATGCCTTTAGGACATGGCTGTTAGGATCGATAATGCCTTCCTACGAGATTCGACGCGTTGTTAACGGGACAAACGCGTGCAACTTGAGCAGGAAAAACGAACCGTCGGAGTTGCACGATCTCGACGCCCTTTGTTCCTTAAATGTACGTATAAATAGGATCACGGCTGCGATTTGCGTCAGGTTTTGCGCTCGTGTCTTTCAGAGAACGGAAATCTACGGGCCCATTACACGAAGACGACGATCCGAGCCGGCGAGATACTACGGCTCATAGCGGTCTTCCAAGACACGAGACGGTGCAGTTCGATCTCCTTCGGTATTTCCGGCGGGTGTCCAGAGAAGGATCAGTACGCGCAATGCATCGATCTTCACGGACGAGAGGTATTCGCCTCGCTGTCGACCCGGGGCGAGTTCTACGCGATCTGTCAGAGCGGAAGCATCGATACTGGAAGCGACGCGGTGCTGTACAAGGTTCACCATCTCGCCAAGAGACAGTTGCCTCTCAGAGTGAGCCTCATTTATGAATTTAAGCTTTGATTAATGCTAAAGAAATATCATTTAATTCATCAATTATATACAATTTTCATTTTCATTGAGCGAATTTTTCTTATTAGGTACGACTGATCGCGGGACCGCTGCCGGTGCCATTGCCGAAGGAATATGGCGGTCTAATGCAGCTGGAGACATCAACGCGGGGTCCAATCGTGCTGGGCTGCGTCGTGCCCGAAAGACCAGTCTATAATCCGGAAATGCTCGAATTGGTTGTATCCGGTAACGGAGCGCCGAGAGTGCGAAGGGCACGATTGGGCTATCCTTCGGAAGCAAGATTGCTGGCCTCCCCGAAAATGCAACGATTATTGTCGGCCTGCAGGTAAAGCCATTAATCGGATTGAAAGCAGAAGTAAATCTCTTAATAAAATCTTTTGTTTTTTATCATCAACTTCCGATAAAATTGCCTGAGATCATCTTCCCCCCGTGTATAAACTTCTTGAACATTTTCATTTAATGTTTGACGTATCGATGAAAAGCATCAGCCGACAGCTTATTATATCAGAATTTATACTCTGCATGGTTGAACTGGTTTTTCTACTTCAGCCGAACGGTCGGGGATCGTGCCACGGAACCACGAGTAGCGCCTATGAAGATACACACGCCGACCGTGGAGAGCCTAAAGGAGATGCATCTGAAGAAGATCAAGCCGAAACCGGAAACCAAGCCGATTCTGCAGAGCCTGAAGGACGGGCTGGAACATTTGAAGCGGAGTACCGCTAAGGAACGAAATCAACAGACGAAGCAAAGCACCGGGAACGGCATTTTGGAGAGGATTTCAAAATTCACTCAGGGCAACAGGAATCGCAACCCCGCGAAGAAATCGGCCTCCTTCACGTTCGCGGTAAGGCCGGAGATAGCCATGAGATCTCAGGAGCGTTATTCCAGTCTGGAACCAGAAACTACCTCTAATCAGACTCGCCAGAATCAAAACGCCAAGCAGCCGGTACAAAGATCCGTGTCAACCAGTGTATTGGAGATACCATGCGTCGAGCTGCAACCCAACTATTCTCGCGTAAGAGACAGCCTGACGCCGCTACCGTCGCCTCCGAAGCTGGTCAGGACCAGCAACAATAAAACTGAGGAGATTTATGCCGAGATCTGCGACACTACGACGGTAAATCAGGCGCAGAAATGTCCGGGAAGCCACGTGATGGCGCGAATCAGGATCGTCGTGCAGGGCAATGACTCTTCCTTGGGAGCACACAGCATGATCAGTAGTGAAAGATATATGAACTCGCTGGTAACGAGTGAGCAGATTGATTCGATTATTAGTACAGAGGATGAAGTGATCTATAATACTGTATTTTAAAATCGGGATAACGTACAAAATACGTTTATAATGCTCATGCGCGTAAGCGAGAAAATTTAGTTGTAATTCGAGGCAGCGGTATATGGACATTCCTAAAGTATAGGTAAACCGGCTGTGTTCTATCCGCTCTCTATTCGCTGTTTCGAGATGTATTATATTATGTAAGAGGATGAATTAAGAAAAATCTTGTATAAGCATCTTCGTAGAAAAATACAGAAATTTTCTGTACTTACATATTTTTGCCATACGTTAATGTAATAACAATTGGGATAAAAACAAGTTTTAGAAATTTTTTAGAAAGACAAATCGCTCAATTTACAAATGTAAGTATAACTTGCATTAAAATAAAATTTATCTAATTTTTGTTTATTCGTGATTATTGTTCATGAAAGTAAATAGAATGATGTAAAAAAAGAAAACATTAATTTTGTTCATAAACAAATATAGAAGTTCAGTAACAAATATATATTTTATGTCCTTTTTAATTTAAAAAATTTTTTTACTTTTGTGGACGTTGTCTTTTTTTACATGCGATATTGCTACTTTCGCTTTTATCAGTATTATCTTCTATTACTTGTTTCATTACTTCAATGGCCTTCTGCGCATTCTGAGCTAGATCTACATTCAAATTATCATCAAGATATTTTCCCGAAAATCCTTTAGGGAATATTGGATTTGATAATAAAGATCGTAGTTCATTTCTCTTTGCCTTTAATTGACGCTTCAATACTGCTGCTTCTTCCGATTCCGTCGATGATTCACTAAAATAAAAAAAAGGATATAAAATTTATGCTGCAAAAATAAGAAAATAAATTGATTCATTTTATTTACTCATCATCTTCCTTGTCTAAAACCATATCCATATCCTCCATTGCTTTTCGTAGCCATTTTTTTTGAGTATTTTGTCGACGATAATTCAATTCCAGTTTATCAATGTCGCGAGCGACATCCACTCTCTCTTTTATAGCAGTTAATAGCCTGTCTACTACCGGAAATACGGGCAAATCTTGCGCTACAAAGATAGATTTATGTTATATTTCTCATGATCAACCAGGAAAAGTCAGTATCTCTTAATGTTAACATACTGCGTCCAAGAGTTTTGCATAATTTGATATAATTCTGTTTTTCAGAAGGTTCCATCATTAGAACCGTGATTCCTTCCTTTTGAGCTCTCGCCGTTCTACCACTCCTATGTACATAATTCTAGAAAATAATTACCAAATTAATTTCGTAATGAATATATTAATTGCATGCATTAATGTCTTAGATATTCACCTCAGATGTCCTGGGAACCTGATCATTAGAACCGTCGATTCCTTCCTTTTGAGCTCTCGCCGTTCTACCACTCCTATGTACATAATTCTAGAAAATAATTACCAAATTAATTTCGTAATGAATATATTAATTGCATGCATTAATGTCTTAGATATTCACCTCAGATGTCCTGGGAACCTGATAATGTATGACATGTTCTATATTAGGTATATCTAAGCCTCGCGCAGCTACATCCGTGGCTATCAACAATCCATTCTCATCAGCTTGAAATCTATAATTTTTATTAACATAAACGTTGAGAAATATTTAATGCTTAAAGTGATTTCTTGAGAGTACTCATTTTTCATTAATTTAAGACGCACTACGGAAGTAAATTCAGAGACATTAAAACGTTATGCAAAATAAAATAATTATATTTTTCACCTTTCAAGATTTTTTAAGCGTTGTCGTTGTTGCATATTAGCATGCAAAGGTAAAGGCTTACACTCAAGTATACTGAAAAGAGTAGCCAATCTTTTTACACAGCCGATGCTGTTACAAAATACTAATGTTTTTCCATTATGTCTTTTCAAAAAATAATAAAGATAATAATCTTTATGTTCAATCGTACATGTTATTCGACATTCTGTTAAGTTACTAGCAGTACCTGATAATATATATTTAATTAAATAATAGCAATACACAGAGTTTATTTCTATTAAATGCATATATACCTGACTCTTTTGTAAGATCAACGACTTTAGGATTCTTTATTCTTAATAAACGTATAATTTGATGTAATTTCTGGTCAGAAGTGAGTTTGGATATCCTACTTCTAGCATATCGCTTTTTCTTTCTTTCAAGATAATCCGGGAGATCATGTACCATAGTCAAAGTAGCCGAAAAGACGAAAGTCTGCCGTTTCTCTAGCTTTGCTGGATCTGTATTTATCTTCTTCAATAGATCGTGCAATTCTTGAAAATGACCCTTTTCCATCATTCTATCTGTCTCGTCGATAGCTAAGTACCTAAATTATATAATGCATTATATAATTTTTTATATACACATACTTTGAAATACATAATAGAATTACTTTTTGTTAGATTTTTAAATTACCTGATAGAATCTATTTGTTCTAAATGAGAATTTCCTTCTTGAATTAATTCCCATAGTCTCCCAGGTGTAGCAATGACTATTTCAGGACCTTTGTTTAATATTCTTTCTTGCTTCACTGCTGCCACGCCTCCAAGAACAACAGCTATCTACATATAATAATATTACGACATAATTAAAATTATATATTATTATACATTATTATATATTATTTATTTTAAGAAAAATAATTTTACCTTAATATCTGTATATTTCGTTAGCTGAGTAAGATGATTCTTTATTTGAATTGCCAATTCACGAGTTGGTGTCAAAATTAATGCATACAAAGGCTTGATTGGAGTATTATGACTACTATCAAGTTTGACATTATTCACAACATTCACGCAATTTTCGGATTCCAATAAGTTTTCATTTTCTGAATCGGATTCTAAAAAATTATTATCCATAGTATATTTAAATTTAAAATTCATTAGTTATAGTTTTAATATGAAACAATATAAAAAATTTTTAAATAGTCACCTTCTACTTCTGGAAAATTCTGTTCTTTAGCTTCCTTCTTTAAATCCAGGATACCTTTTATAATTGGGATACCAAATGCCAGTGTCTTGCCACTACCAGTTTCAGCAGCACCTAGTATATCTCTTCGACCTAATATGGCAGCTGGCAATGTTCGAGTCTGTATCATAGTAGGCGAATAAAAATCCAGATCAACAAGAGCTTCCATCACAGCCATTGGAACACCCATGGAGCTCCATGCTTCAATATTAAACTTGTTCAAATTGTTAGTACTATCTGTATCACTATCTGTACTATCTGTACTATCTGTATCACTATCTGTACTATCTGTACTATCTGTATCACTATCTGTACTATCTGTACTATTAGTACTATCTGTATCACTATCATTGTTGGAATCAATCTGTTGATCATAAATTTTAAAATCTTCAACTTTAGTCGATTTTATTGTTTTCTTATCCTTTATCGTTTTCTTATCTTTTATTGTTTTTTTATCCTTTTTCTTCGTGCTTTTTGCTTCATCTTTTTTAATCTTCGATTTTTTCGCAGAAGGCTCTACATCAGTCTTTTCTTGTTCTTTCGAATTTTTGCGTTTTTGCGACACCGTCTATAATTCAGAAATTACAAATTTAATTTAAATTTAAAAATTTAAAGATGATAAAAAATAAATTACCTACTTTCTTTATTTCAGTAGATTTCACTTGTATGGTTACGAGTTTTCCTTTTTTGCTGCTCCGCTCTAAGCTATAATCCGTTAACTCCTCTATTCCAACCAATCCTTCTATATCGTTGGTTACTAAAGTTCCTTCCAATGTTACAGGCTTCCATCCATCATTGTCTCGTTTAGTTCTCGTCATGATTATAAAATATTTGATCTAATTTTTCTCTATAATTGCTGATAAAACTATCACCGTTTCTTAAATTATTTACATGTGATCCAAGGAATCCAACGTGGCAAATAACCTCACTCACTGTCCTGACTGTTTTTGTGAGCCTGCCCTCTGCACATTACCGCCAGTATCTTCATTTTTGAATTTGGAATTTGGATGTACTGCGTACATCTATTTTCGACATTACCGATAAAATCGCATTCTAGTGCGTGTCTGTGCTGCATCCATAATTCATGGATTAAAAATATGCTTATATAATTTCTTATTTATAACCATGATAACGATGAGATGCTATTAAAGACTGTCAACCCTGCAAATTAACCATCAAAAGGGTCTAGGAAGGAGGAGGGAAGGCGGACGTCGAGGATAATTAAAGAATATCAATATTATTGACTAATATTATTGATATAAATTTATGATATTTAATATAAATATGTGAATAATAACTTATTAAATTTATGATTATTTATAATTTAAATGCTTTATAGGTATACATATTTATACTGCTATAATATTATATCTATTGCACAGATGCACAAATGGTAAAAATGTAGTTTTAAATAAAATTTGATATATATACAAGTCGTAAATACACATATATATATATATTTGTGTAAAAAGTATCGGCATAATAATAAAACAATAAATTAATATTATTACATTACGAGCTAATTATTCAAAATTTTAACAATCATGTGTGACTATGCGAACTCCCATAAGTGAGTCTTTGATAGTCTCGTTGATGCTCTGATGATCATTCAATTAAAAACGAATCATACGATATGTCGTCGGTGACTCCTGCAATTGAGCAATAAATATAATCAATCAAATAATAAACAAAAAAAAAAAAGAAAGAAAACGCATGCGTCCAAATATGAGAAATTTTTCACAAGCTGTGCCATGAATCTTCCAACGTTTCAGGTAGTAAGATGGCGTTCCGCACGACACAGGCATATCGATTGTGTGTGTAGGGCGGCCGGCATGTGTGAAGAAGACTGTCGGACGCAACACGATTTTCGTAACGGCTCCTCGCGAGATTCGAGACTGTTCGGGTAGACCGAACGATGAGCACGATCGGGAGATGATGCCCGGCACGTCTCGCCAGCTGGAAACGCCTAACGATAGTAAGAAACCGGCTTGTTATATGCGTTCTCCGTCGCATCTCAGTGCGGTTTCCGCCTTGGCGGGGAAGGGGAAGCTGTCACACTAAATTTGACAACGGACGATTCGGCTTTGCTCCGAATACGTCTGAGATTCACATACTTTCGCTGTTGTTAATTATGATGTCCGATTGCCGATCCGGATTGCCGAATGTACATTTGAATCTGTGCATCACTGTCGTTGCGAACCAATTTCCGTATCTGGCGTATCTCTAATATTATGTCGTTCTGATATCGCAACTCGATATCCAGCCCCCTACATTTGTCCGGTTAAATTGCTCAGGATATCGTTGTACCGTCGTGTTTAAGTTTTATTATTGTTTGGAAAAATATAGAGTATTTTATAGTTAATTAGTGTGTGTGTAATATACACACACACACACACACACACACACACACATTAATTTTTTTTCTGAGAATATAAGAATATTCAATTACAAATAATTCAATGTTAACTTATTATTGATATACAAATTAATCAACTTTTAATTTTCAAAAATACAATGTATTGTTGCTCAGATCCTGAGTGGGATACTTTAATGGAGGTCCATCATGAGCCGATTGAAAAGAACTATCAGCTGCTTGAAGAGATTGGCAAGTAAGCACTATTACTTGTAATTCATCAGTAATTGTAATTCATCGTTCTTTTAACATTTAATAATTTTTGCAATGTGAAATATAGGGGTCAATTTGCTATTGTACGAAAATGCCAGGAAATAAAAACTGGAGCATTGTATGCTGCAAAAATCATGAGGAAGAGGCGGGTTGCTAGAGGAGTGGCTGCTGCTGACATTGGTAATATTTTTATATAATTATAATATATTGCTGATATTTTCTTCAAAATACTATATATACTAAATGTAAAAGAATTTTATTTTTTTACAGCACGAGAAGCTGGTCTTCTGGCTCGGTTAAGGCATCCTAATATTGTTTCCTTATACAAAGTAATTGACACCGGAACAACAGTGGTATTGCTTCTGGAATTGATTACAGGAGGCGAGCTATTTCATTGGACTCCATCCGGTGAAACAGAAGCTGCTCATGTGGTATGTAAATACTTTATGTTTAATTAAAAAGTTTAGGAGTAATTTTTCTTTATATTATTTTCAAGGTGCGTCAAGTTTTAATGGCACTTAGTCATTTACATTCCCATCAAGTTGCTCATTTGGATATTAAGCCTGAGAATATTCTATTGTCGACACCACCACCGATGCCTAGCATTAAGCTAATAGGTAATGTCTATGATACTTTGTATTACAAAATCATCAATACGGCTAAAACAAAAATACTATTTTGTAGATTTAGGTCTATCGCATCGGTTAGTACCTGGTTCAGAACATAGAGCATTATTTGGCACACCTGAATTTGTGGCACCAGAAATTGTAAATTATGAACCACTCAGCTTGGGAACTGATCTTTGGGCTGTTGGTGTATTGACGTATATTCTTCTGAGTGGAGCTTCACCATTTTTAGGCGAGGATAAGCAAGAGACATATGCAAATGTTGCTGCTTGTCAATATCAATTTGACAATGAATATTTCAATAATGTGTCCGAAATTGCCAAAGACTTTATAAGATCCTTATTAATCAAGGATCCAAAGTAAGTTGCAGGAGAATCATAAATTTGTCAAAGTCTATCTTATTAAATCGTAAAATAAAAATATTTTCATTTTAGGGAGAGAGGAAATGCTGAATCGTGCCTTAAACATCCTTGGATTCTCACGGTGTGTTCTTTTAAAACGACTCGTATTGTCTAACATTACGATTTATTGTACATTTTATTTTAAATGCATTATATATTATATTTTTATTTTACATATTTTTTTATCAATTTCTGTTTCAATAATCTATTGTACAGTACATCATATATACGAACAATTTTTTTTACATATAATACATTATAATACATTACATTATTAAGTCAAGCCTACACAAATTTTTTTTATTATATAGAATTATTAAAAAATACAAGATTTCTTTAATATGCATGTTATATATGTACAAGAGAAAATGAAAAATTATTTTATAATTTTAAAGAGATTATCATTAATTAATTTTAAAGAGATTATCATATATCGACGAAAAATTTTTTTTCTCTCAGGAATCTGAAGCTCCTCAGGGTCTCGGTGGAGCAATGATCAGTGCTGTAAAGCGAGGCTGTGTTGAGGCTGTCTCTCAGTTACTGTTACAGGGAGCTCCATTAAATGTGAAAGACTCTGTAAGACATTTTTTATTTATTTTATCTATATTACGTAGCAAAGATATAATCCGCAGATAAAATATTAATATGTTTCTATTCAGAAAGAAGACACTCTTTTGCACATTGCTTGTGAAATTGGCGATGAGGGAATGACGACTCTTTTGATAGAAAGCGGAATCGACTTGGATACACCGAATAAACAAGGTCTTACGGCATTACACGTGGCTGCTCGATACGGACATATTAATCTGGTCAGACATTTGTGCCTTGCTGGTTGCGACGTCGATAAAACAAATCGGGGGATCCGAGCGGACGTCACGGCAATTAAATATGGACATCCAGATATCGCAAGTTTATTGGATAAGTTGAGAAATGTACATTTTTTTAAATATTCTATAATATATAATGCTTTTTGTGTTTGCAAGAATTATACGGAAGTAAAATTTTGTTATAATTTATTTTCAGTTGAATCAGCGCGAAAATTACATTCGTCAGCTACAACCGACACACCGACCGATAGATCGACTGCACATAAGATTGCTCGGGCATTGTGCATCTGGGAAATCATCCTTAATTAATTCTTTGAAATCTGGAATATTTAGTTTTGGCTTCTTTCGAAGATCGAGAAGCCAGAATTGTAGCGCGAAGGTAAAATTTTATATATATGTGATAAAGATATAAAATATGAGTAATAAGTATATTAAAAAGAATATTAAAAATTATTGATATATAGAGAGAACCAAGCATTGAACTCGATGTGACGAGTAAGCATGGTTCTCTTAGTTTTGAGTACAGCGACAATGAGTATGAAGGTACTCAGGGAGTAGAATGGAGTCGCGGTAATGTAGGTAAGCAAATTATATTTAAGTATCTAGTCTAACTCAAATATATGGAATTATAATAATGTAATATGAATTGAATATTTCTGGTTTAATTGATTTCTGAATGATTTGAATATTAATATACTTTTAATTATTTAATATAATAAATTCAAGTATTATATAAAACTTATAAAAATGTCGTACGGATATATTTGATCAACCAGGTGGCGAGTGTGTCTTTTGGGAGTTGTGTGGACGCGAGGAATTTTTGGCGTCTTATCACTACGTACTTACATTCCAGCAACCAGCAGTGCATCTTATTACAGTCAGTTTAAGAGAACCATTGACCGTTCAACTTCAACAGATAAAATTCTGGCTGCAGTTTATATTGGACCGTATTAATCCAAGTAATGTTGGTAAGATATCGCTGCGTGTTAAAGTATTTTTGTATTATAATTAATTCATTTTTTATTAAAGATAAAGTTTATAAATCTGATTTTGCTTTTTTTATTAAAGGATTTAGTGGAAAGTGCAACGATGTAAAAGTAATTTTAGTCGGCACTTATGCGCCGGAACCTTTAGCCCCAAATTCTACCGGCGGCAATCTACTTGCACCGCTTTTGCCATTTTTGAAAGACTTTACGTCGATTTTGGGGGAAGAACCTCAAATGGTAGCATTGGACGCAACCAATCCTTCTAGTCCTGGCCTGAAACTCCTCAGATCTTATTTAAATAATGCAAGAATGGAATTTCTCGAGGTTAAACGATTATATTCTCTCTATAAAGTTATAAATACTTATCATATTTCATATGTAACATTAGAAGAGATATATTATTTTCTCATCATTTGTTTAAGTATCAATTCAAATTAACTAACAATCTTTCTTGAATTTGACAAGTCTTTTTTTCTCTGATGAGAATTTGCAATCTCTTCTGATTTTTCATTTTCACCATCGGATATTATACATATTTCTTTAATTCACTCTAAAATATATATCAGTAAATGCATGATATCAGTATGCTTGATACTAATGCGAGCAGAACCGTTCGATTCTGCAGCCTGTTAATACAAGCAATTGTGACTAACGCAACCTTATGTAAATAAGAATCATGTTTTTGCAGAAATTGTATTAATTTGTACAGCATGTAATAAATGTGCGCATTAATCCCTTTCGTGAAACGGTTCTGTCTCTCAATAATGGACTACCTCATTACGCTGTTGTCTGTAATTCATTCATCAATTTCGAAATTTGCAATGTCAATATATTATCAAATCAGGCATTGACTCTCAACAAGAGACAATGTAACGATTTTTATAATCACTTTTTATAATCACTTCGATTTTCCTCTGGACATCCATGATGCATGGTTGATTTGATATATGTACAAATAATTGAAAGCATTGAAAGTACCTTCTGTGTCTCGTGACTTTCGACGACATTCGATTATTTGCAATGTTTGATTGAGCGCACCATTTCTAATAAAAATCCGATATCATGTCATATATATAAATATATATCACACTGAATCGAATTTATTAAGAACATATGTTTTAGTTGCTGGTTATTTGGCCATTAATGTTTATTAACATCAGCCTTAATGCATGCAATGCATGATGTAGGATGGACCGGAAGTTGCAGAAAGTATTCTCCGACGTGACGCGCCGCGTGCTGCGGCTACGTACGTGCCCCTGGCGAATCTTGATAAACAGGTCGAAATACTTCTCTCAATTCCTATAAATAATTCTGAATGATGTGTATAAATTGAAACTGTATTTTGGTTTAATAGTTGCACTAATGCTTTCTCCCATATATACATACATGCACTATATTATCTATACTTTAAAAAAAAAAAAAAAAAAAAAAAAATAAAAAGAGATTCTCTCTCTTGTATATATTTTCTGCATCAATGTGATATTCGGTTAAAGTAGACTTCTGTTACTACGGATATTAATTGCGTATTATAGAGCGCCTTAGTATGGACTGGTCTCGCTGAAGCATGGAGGTCGTACATGCAATCATTAGAAGTGCCTCCGTTAATGCTCACTCAGGAAGAATTTCTGAACGAGGTTCGAAAGATTAATCCTTTAGTTTGTTTGGATCATTGTAGACATCTCGGATTACAGTTACAGGTTTGTAATTTATTAATTTCGATTTAATATCTATAAGACATTATTCTTTATTTTCTTTAATATACATTAAATTACAGAACTTGGGAGAATGCATTCTTCTGCCTGGAAACCTGATAGTACTTAGTCCTGAATGGTTTTGGCAAGATGTGTTAAATTGGCAATTAAGTCCCGATCAAAGAGGACGATTGGGCGGTCGAACCACCGGTGTTTACACTTTAGAAGATTTTCAAGCACGATGCCCGTGCCCTGCCGGTCAAGCTCTGCAAGCTTTGCAAGCAGTCAATTTATGCGTTCCGGTATGTGTTACGGAATCTGATTAATATCGATTGATCATTACTTGATTATTCTATTTTAGTGTGAAGTGGATGACGATGAAGTGGAATACGAGATACCGTGCTTAAACCTTGTAGAGCGTCTTCCGGGTTTATGGGAACCATGGAAACCATGTTCTAATGCTTTACCTCATGCTGGTTTACGCCTTTGTCCAGAAGAAGCGCCTTTATATCATTTGACTGCGATATTTACGCATTTACAGGTAATTAATGTTTATGATAAAAGAAACATGAGAATAAAAAAACTAAAATATTAAAATTGATATAGGCGCAATTGAGAAAAATTACTCAAACATGGGATCCGTCGAATTCAGATTTGTATCAATGGTGGCGAGGATCAAAGCTGTGCTTAGGACCTTGCGAGAGTATAATCACTTTCGAGGAAGAGGAACATAGCTGCGTGGAAATTCAGATTCGCGGTCCACGTGGTTCTAGTGCGCAATGTTTCGCTCTTCTTAGCGTGATCCTGGACGCGATGGATACGACCATTGAATTAGTTGCGCCTGGGATGTTACTTGAGAGACATTGGCTAAGTCCTAGTCAGCTTCGAGAATATGACGAGGTAAATAAAACATTCAGATTCGTATACTTTTTTTCAGTCCCATTGCTCGTGTCTGAGCGTGATGATTTCTCTCATATACCTGTGGTGTGCATGATGATTATACACAGGTATATGGGACCTACAGTTTAACGCCGATTCCGAACGGCAAATTTTTGGTAGAGAGACGGCAAAGGCAAAGTTATTTTCGGTGGTTTGCCATTGCCTTTCAAGAGGAGACGAGCGTAAATATTTTGACTCTGTCGGGAATCGAATCCGGGACCTCTAGCCTAGTAGATCAATGCTGTCTACTGTGCCACGCTCGCTCAGATTCGTATATTATAAAATAAAAAGATTGAGATTTGTATAGATTTTAACAAATATAATCACAGGTAATTCACTCTTGGGCGCCGGCTACTGTTATATCGGCTTTAATCGACAAAGGCCTCGAAGAGGCTATCCTTAAAAATCCTTTAAATGACCGGCAAGAAACCGTATGGGAGATAGTGAGTTGCGGGTTGCCGTTGATGGAGAATTGCGTTCCCGGACCCAAGCAACCTGTGAAACACATAAAACCCGCGGTGCAGCGGCGATTGGCGCAGATGCTGGATCCGCCTGATCATCATGGAAGAGATTGGTGCTTACTTGCTGTAAGACTCGGTTTAGGAGATCGCGTCGCCCAGCTGGACAGTACAGTAGACAGTCCAACTTTGAGGTAAAAGATATTTTTGATTACATGTTGATTGCATTATAATAACACAATTGAGCACATTGAAACTTTAATCTACAGGCTACTGAATTGTGCGGGTGCAGAATGTACCGTCGGTTCGTTGGTGCAACAATTGCGAGCTCTTGATCGCGAAGATGCCGTGCATTTGTTGCTCACATATACTCCAACTTACGTACTAATGATGTCCGTCGACTCCGAGACAGGGTCTAATCTTTCCAGATGACGATGCTGCTCTCAATGGCGCATTAGCACCTTCTAGGTGTTCTTTTTGCTGAAACGCCGCGCATTTGATAGATAGCATCGTCTTTCTATTTCCGCCCAGTGTAAATCATACGTTAATTTATTAAGTATGTGTACATCCCGATATGTAATTTAACTTCAGCGATCGATCGCATTGCACTTCGAGTTGAATGATATAAGAGGGATCTGTGACATTTGTTATAGACTGTTTATTATTTTATATTCTTTCTTTTTCTTTAATGTTTTTATTTTGTACTTACTAGCCGATAAAATATTTCTTTATTTACATTGTACCGTATTAATTAACAGTATAATTATTCTAAACGGAAATTGATTTCTTTTTACGCTTTTTAATTTGTGTTATGAAATTACTTAATGTATTAACTTAATGTATTAATGTATTTAATGTAGTTATTTTTATTTCTTGATAAAGTTGCGCTGTGATTAATATCGTATTATTGAGCGTTGTGTTGTGCAATTTGCATTTTTCTCGTTATCTGAAATTGTTATGCCAGGGAAATGATGCATTTACATATTACATTGTGCGATACGATCATGTTTGATATCGATATTGTTTCGAGCGCTTTTCTTGATATATACATATATATATATATATATACACATGTATTACATCTTGCCAAAACTCTATGTCAATATGCACCGCTTTTTTTCAATATTTCGGAATATTTACTAAGCATATATATGCATAAAAAGAGTGACATTTGCACAGTCTGTTATTACTTTCGGATATATCGTCTGTGCATACTCGATGATTGAGTGCATATTTCTACTGAACTATATCCGATCCTGTCTTTATTGCGCGCCATATGCAAAAATCGTAAAAGTATATACGATATTCAATAAATTAAAAGTATAACAGTCGAATCAATTCTTCTGTAACACGACTGCATTACACTTTTTATTGTAAGCAACGTTTACAATTATGAAAGTCTGCTTATCTATATACTTACGAATCGATCAGAAAATTGATCTCACAAAATATGTGTAATAATTAAGACGCATATACGATTAACAGTAAAAGCATTTGTATCGAAACATCCGTAGAATTTTATTCGCGTAGCTCTCTCACACACACCATCTCATACTAGCTTTAATGAAACAGTTACACATACACATACGTTATAATCTGAGACTGTTGTAAAAATAAACCAATGAAATTATTAAATATATCTTTCACTAGATTTAATTGTCTTATTTATTGTTTTTTATACCATTTTTATTTAATATTATACCATTTTTTCAGGCTCATTTTTCTATATTCGTTAATTTCTAGATCTGCAACTCTATAAATTTTTCATTCTTCAATTTTTTTTAGATTTCTGAGTCTATTTTCTAAGTTACACATACAAGCACACACACACACACACACACACACACACACACACACACACACACACACACACACACACACACACACACGACGCGCACTACTTATTCTCTCTCTCTCTCTCTCTCTCTCTCTCTCTCTCTCTCTCTCTCTCTCTTCTTATGGATAGAACTTCTTTTCAACAGATTTTTTGTTTCAAGTCTTAGAATTTTTATTTTCATTTATTTATTCATATTTTCTATTTCATCTTTTCGTTAGTATCGCTCGAAAGCTTTTGCACTTGACACCAATCCGCTGGATCGGTGGGGTTGATCAGCGGGAAAATTCAAAGCTAATCCACGACGATTAACATTTTAATGAACCATGATATCAGTCATGCTCGTCAATGTAACGAGGATTGGTCAGGCTGTTTATTATCGGGGAGTCGATTACGTAGTCGGCAGAAAACAGAAACGGGATTCTTTTCAGGGGCCGAGAATAGCATGGGAACGGGCGGATATCGCGTTTCGTAGGCAGCTACGAGGACGACGACGGATCGGTGGAGGGCCCGGTGAAGGGTGAGGGTAAGTTTCGGGACGATAGCCAAAGTCTCCAAGCAATTATAGAATTGGATTGGATCGGGGAGTTCGGGAAGGTGGCCGGCATCGCCGCCGAAATCGGTTTCGTTTTATTTTAGCTTAGTTGTCGAAGGCATCTGGTTGTGCATTCTCATCGCGGATCATCGTCACGATTGCAGTGAGTGTTCCCCTTAGTTAAAATTTTTCTACCTGTCCGACATCATTACGCAAAATTTATTAAACAGCTCGAACGATTCGCACGATTAACAGGGTGATACAGACACATTAGGTATTGAATGACGGGGTGAAATAATACTGAATTCTTGTGGTTGCATCACTCGACATCTTTCTTCTGCTTGCTGTAAGGTACAAATTTTATTCATAAATAATTAAAATATTTAGAATTTTATTAGTATTAATTAATTAATCGATTATATTTTTTTAAATTTTACTTGCAATTCTATTAAATATGCGATTTTATAGACTATGATCGTGATATGCGATTTTATAGACTGGCGTAATTCTCAGAGTAGTTTTCTATCCTTTGTATTCATTACCTAAAATCCTATTATCCATTTTAGTTTTTCGAGATAATTATTATCGAGATTATTATTATTATCAGCCAGAGTAATTAATAAGAAGAAAGTCCGAAATCCCGCGTCACGATGGAGGCGATCAAGAAGAAAATCGCGGCGCTGAAACTCGAGATGGACGCCGCGATGGAGAAGGTTGAAGTCAACGAGACGAAAGCGAAACAGGAGAATATAAGAGCTGACAGGCTGAACGACGACCTCAGTGATCTGCAAAAACGATTAGTCCAATTGGAACGAGATTATACCATCACCAAAACTAACTTGGAGCAATCAACCGCCGATCTAGAGCAGTGTGAAAAATCTTGGTCCAGAGTGCGTAATAATAATTAACATAAGTAGATTTTTTTTGAATTAAATTTCCCATGATATTTGCAAGTCTCCTTTTTATAAATTTGCAAGAAAATTTCTGCGAAGAAGATAGCATGATGATGTTGAAGTTATACCTATTATTAAATTATTGAAGCTATTAAAAGAAGTTATCAAAAAAATTGAATGATATTTTTAATTTCGACAAATATTTAAAAAGTTCTTTTTTGTTTCAATTAATCACATTGTGCATATAGGCTGAACAAGATCGTACCGTTTTAACAAAGAAAGTACAGGAAATCGAAGCGAGTCTCACCAAAAAGGAGGAGCTGCGTCTTACCGCCACACTTAAGCTGGCACGTGCGACGGAACTCGCGGATGACGCGCAGAGGTTTATAATTATTAATTAATTGCTATTACTGTCAAATTTTAATATTTTCCAAACGTGATACATGATGATACTTAATTATACTAAAATCAAACGAATAAATTATGAGCAAGACTCGATAGCAATATTTCTTTTTCCTTTTGCAGGATGTGTAACGTCCTGGCGGATAGGAGTCGCTTGGACGAGGAACGTATGGAGAAACTGATGTCTGAATTAAAAGACGCGAGATTAATTGCCGAAGATGCTGATGCAAAATCCGACGAGATAGCCAAGAAATTACAGTTTGTGGAGGAGGAATTAGAAGCCGCTGAGGAGAGAGTAAAAACTAGTGAAGCGTACGCAAATGATTATAATTTTAATTTACATATATTTACATATATATGTATATACATGTATAAAATCCTTTATCGAAATATCTTTTCGTAGCAAAATTGTGGAACGCGAGGACGAACTTTTCATCGTACAGAATATCGTAAAGTCCCTCGAAGTGTCCGAGGAAAAGGTTCCGTAAAATAGTACATTACGAAAATGACTAATTATGCCGTAACGCCACTTCTTATTTTATTTAATTATTTTGGTTTTAGGCAAACCAACGGGTGGAAGACTTTAAAGTGCAACTGAAAAGCTTGAAGAAAAAACTGAAGGAGGCGGAGAAACGCGCAATCAACGCCGAAAGAACAGTCAAGACATTGCTAAAGGAAGTGGACATGAAGGAAGGTAAAAACTATCTCTAAAGATTTTATTTCCAATAGCGTTTGTGAATTGAAAAAAGGATTATTTTCCTTCTTTCCCAATTCTAAGAAATTATCGTTCATTTCAGATGAACTCAGAGAAGAGAAGGAAAAGTACAAGGCGGTCTGCGACGATATGGACGCGACGTTCGCCGAAATGACAGGATACTAAAATCCTGTGAACGGACTTAATTTTTGATTCTTGATACTCCTACGCTTCTCCCTCTTTAATCGCTATCATTTATTATTTATTAGTTCTCAGACTCATTGCGCTTAAATGCTGTGCCATAAACGACATTAGAAATAAATCGCTTCACGCAATAATCCATTGGTGGACAAAGCAACGCAATGCGGCTTGTTACTATAACTGCTTCGCTTTGTGCAACACCTTGCCAAAATCGACGAGCAATTAGTTCACGGTCGCTCGTTGTTCGTTGTGTCGATTAAAAATTTACCATTTCGTCTGTTTCTTTTTCTTTCAGAGGCGTTGGAGAGACTTAATGTCGTCCGCTACTCGCGAATGAGACCATGATATCGCGCATCCTTTTTATCATTTTATGTAAATCTATCTGTATTTTCAATAAACAGTATCATAAATTCTCTAAGTTTTGTTCCTTTATGTATCACATTGCTGTGAAATCTCTAAAATAAAAATGAGTAATAAATCCAAATCCAAGTAAATAATGAATATAATGTAGTATTTAATCTTAATCTTATTTAATCTTTTATTTTTTAATTTATCTTTGATATATAATATTTATAATAAATTTTCTTACTATTTAATACTATTTATAAATTCAAGGACAAAAGAATGACGCAATTAAAATTAAAATTAAACGTTGATTAAATATTGATATTACATTATAAAAATATATTATCAGCTTTAAATTATAATGCGAATTAAATTTGTTAGTTTAAATCGTAAAATAAATACAATATACATCTTATGAAATTTATTTTAAATGTACAATAGTTGTTAAGCAGATATAAACGTTTAGCTATCGATATACCCACGATCGGCAACGATCACCGGCACAACAAAGCACATCACTGCTTTAAGAAGTCCAAGAATTCGTTTGAGCCTAACTAAAGCGACGGTCGTTTTTATTCTTTTGCATTGCATTGAGCCTATAAAACATTGTCCTCATCGGTCACTGAGTACAGTAACCCGCAGGCATTGCATTTTGTTACTTCGTTCGTTTCCTCAACAATTAAAAATTCTGTTTAACAAAGTGAGAAGCTAATATTTAAAAATTCTGTTTAGCTTTACAGCAAAGTGTATTAATTAAAGAGCTGTTATTAAAGAGCTATTTCTAATTAATTTCTGACGAAATTATGAACGCCATTAAGAAACGACTGCAAATGCTAAAGCTCGAGAAAGATCTCGCGATGGATAGAGCTGATCTGTGCGATCAGCAGGCAAAGGAAGCAAATCGAAGGGAAGAAAAACTAAAAGACGAGGTTCGTGAATTAGCGAAAAAGCTGATGCAAATGGAACATGACCTAGAAGTGAGCAAGACCCAACTGATAAAATCAAACAGAAATCTCGAGATAAAGGAGAGAGTCTATATCGTGGTTAGTGAATCAGAAGAATCACACAATTCGCAATTTGATCTACCTTTACACGAATTGTAAAATTGCAGACTCAGTCGGAATTGGCGGTGCTGAATAGGAAAATGCAGCAATGCGTGCAAAATTTAGAAAAATCCGAGGAGCGACGTTTATCGGCTCAAGCAAAGCTCACGCAGGCTATGGAAACTGCTGAAGATGCAAAACGGTATAAATATTTATGTTTCTAAATAAAATATGCTCTGTAAAATTTTGGTTATAAAAAGTTTTTTTAAAAGTATTTATATTTTGTTATATTCTGTAAAGCACTATAGTTATTTTATTACACACGTTTGTGGAATATAATTAATATTTTATATTAATATTAGTAATATTATAAAAATTAGCGTTGTAGAGTTTAAATTTTTAGATTATTTTTAAGATCATTATTATATTTTTCGCAAGAGATATTATAAGCTTTTATAATCGTAAAGTTATTATTACTTAGTATCTGTAAAGTCCTGGAGAACAGGAGCAAGCAGGACGAAGAAAGAATGGATCAGTTGATGACGCAGTTAAAGGAAGCGAGGCTTATCGCTGAAGATGCTGACACGAAATCGGACGAAATTTCAAGAAAATTGGCGTTCGTTGAGGACGAGCTTGAAGCGGCGGAAGAAAGAGTTAAATCGAGCGAAGCGTATGCGATTTTCTAAATATAGAGACTACGTTCTTTTCGATTTAATCCTTTCTCACTTTTCTATTTTTAATTTAAATAGAAATGTTTTACTTTTAACATGTCTTACTTTTAAAGACATTTTACTTTTGCAAGAGACTTTTCTATAAAATGCAAATGAAAATTTTCAAAACAGCTTTGCATGATGATTAATTTTACGTTTTAGGAAAATTCTTGAAAGAGAGGACGAGTTGTTCATCGTTGGCAATATATTTAAATCCTTAGAGGTGTCCGAAGAAAAAGTAAACATTTTTTTATGATATACTTATAACATTTATATTACAAAAATGAAAAGTATTATATAATTAAAAGATTGATTATTATAGGCTAATCAAAGGGTAGAAGAATTTAAAGCGCAGTTGAAGGAACTAAAAATGAAACTGAAAGCTGCCGAAAAGCGTGCCATAATCGCTGAGAAAACTGTCAAGATATTTACGAAAGAAATGGACAAGAGGGAAGGTAATAATTCTGTTAGATGCCCTTTTTATAGATTTACAAATTTCAAAGTTGTAAAAATCATTATTAATAATCATTAATAATAATAAAAAAATTATTTGTTCTATGTTTTAGATTATTTGCTAAAAGAAAAGGAAAAATATAAATTCATCTGCGATGATTTGGATTCCACGTTCTCGGAGCTTACGGGATATTGAACAAGCTTTGATCAAATTGATCGCTCAGTTAGAATGCTAATCAGGATTCTCATCTTATTTAAAAACATAAACTTTTACGACTTTTAACAAATATATGTCATCAGGTTTGTCCAGAAAATCGACCCTATGCACTTTACACGATATCAATTTATTTAATCGATTCTACGATCGACACAATGCATCGAAATGCCATACCACAGATTTAATACAGTTTAGATTTAATCGACAATCCATTTTAATCGTACAACCTCCGATCGCAGAACGGAGAAAGAATTTGCGAGCTTCTTTAGTTCATGGAGCTCTTGCGATGACTTTTGTGCAATTTCGCGTCACGATTGGACCGTCCGCGTCACACTCACATCAGAAAGCTTTCTCTCTCTCTCTC